TTTCTCCAGAAGTTATGGGTTCTCCATCATTGGAGGCTTTTAAGAAGAGACTGGACAGCTATTTCTCTGAAATGATATGGGGTTTCCTACCTGAACAGAGGGTTGGACTAGAAGACCTCCGAGCTCCCTTCCAACTCTGTTATTCTGTTATATTATTAACCCCAGGAGAAACACCATGTACCCTGTTTCCCACCAAAATAAGACATTTCCCTGATAATAAGCCCAATCGGGCTTTTGAGCACATGGCAATAAGGCCAAGCGCTTATTTCAGGGTTCAAAAAAAAATAAAAAATAAGACAGGGTCTTATTTTCGGGGAAACACGGTACCACGATGTATCGGTTCAAGGAATAAGGACGGCATCAATTTCCCCCATGTCGTTTTAGGAAGGTTTTGATTATATCCACAGCCCTAATTGCGCCAGACAAATTCTCCACGGCCTTTTTAGAAGTGCCAATTTGGCAGATATGCCTCTTCCACAATGCTTGCCCAGCTGCGTCATTTGAGAATTTCAGGGGCATCCCCTGCCAGAGATATATTTGAGTTTGCGCTTGGTCCTCTCGTGCAAATTATCCGACAGCTCTCATAGACAGGTAGTCCACAACTTACAAATGTTCGTTTAGTGACAACGGACCTGAAATGAGGGACTTATGACCGATTTTCACACGACTGTTGCAGCATCAACGTGCTCAAAATTCAGACGTTTGGCTACTGACTCGTATTTATGACAATTGCAGTGATTCATTTAACAGCTGTGGCAAGAAAGGTGATGAAACGGGGGGGGGGAAATTCACTTAACAACAGAGGTGGGTTTCAGCAGGTTCTGACCAGTTCTGGAGAACTGGCAGCAGAAATTTTGAGTAGATCGGAGAACCGGTAGTAAAAATTCTGACTGGCCCCGCCCACGTCTATTTTCTGCTTCCCAAGTTCCAGCTGATCGGGAAGAAATGGGGATTTTGCAGTAACCTTCCCCTGGAGTGGGGAGGGAATGGAGATTTTACAGTATCCTTCCCCTGCCACACCCACCAAGCCACGCCCACCAAACCATGCCACGCCCACAGAACCGGTAGTAACAAAAATTTGAAACCCACCACTGCTTAACAAGTGTCTTGCTTAGCAACTTTGGGCTTAATTGTGGTCATAAGTCGAGCAATCCCTGTATATCTCAAGTCTTGCTCACTTTCTAGCTGACACTTACATGGACACAAACAGCAGGCATCTCCTATAGATCTGTTATTGTTTGTTCTTCTACATCGTCAGTTGATCTGGGATCCAATCCCCTGCTTAGGCAGGAAACCCTACACCACTTCAGACAAATGGTTATCCAACCTCTTCTTAAAAACTTCCAGTGTTGGAGCATTCACAACTTCTGCAGGCAAGTTGTTCCACTGGTGAATTCTTCTCACTGTCAGGAAATTTCTCCTTATTTCTAAGTTGCTTCTCTCCTTGATGAGTTTCCACCCGTTGCTTCTTGTCCTGCCCTCACGTGCTTTGGAGAATAGCTTGACTCCCTCTTCTTTGGGGCAGCCCCTCAACACTGCTATCATGTCTCCCCTAGTCCTTCTTTTCATTAAACTAGACGTACAAATAATAGAATCAAAGTTGGAAGAACTGTGGTTCTAGATTGTTTGCTCAGTGGAAGAATCCAAATTAAAACATGGCCACCTTTGAACAGGTCCATTCAAGAGGAGACCACATCTCTGTAGGAACATGGATCCAGGCCACACTTATTGTGCCAGAGGGTGAGGTGGTGAGAAGAGACTGGCATTCCTCTGTAGAAGACCTCAGAAGCATTTTCCGTGAAAGTTACTTCCTTTAGTGCCACCTGTTGGCACGCCGGCACCCGTCATCATGCCATTCAATCATCTACACTTTCTTTTGAGGACAAACAAATAGCTCAGCTACACACGAGTCCATCAAGGTTCTCCAAGAAGCTTCCCTGAGATGATTGTTGGTTTGTTTATTAGATTTATTCAGCCATCCATTTCATTTACAGGATTATGGGCGACTGGCAGTTAAAGAGGGGGAGAGAACCGTCCTAAAAACAAAACCAACATTGATAAACATACTTCCCATTAAAACAACAACAACAACACAGCAATGGAGGAACTCAAGTGTTTCCACAATCAAGGTCGCTAAGAAATGGGCTCCTCCACATTATCAGGGCCTCAGGCTCGACGGCGAAGCCAAACTTTTTAACGTCTTATGAAAGTAAGGCCAGGACAAGTTCTTCAGAATTGAAGAAACTTCTTGGATGAGAAACAAAAGGTTTTTAAAGGGGGAGGGGGAAAAAATCAGGACAACCAGGAGCTGGATGATTGAGAAATCTCCATAGACATTCAGATCTGTCATGGCCTTGGTTTTGTTCCTAGCTCAGGAGTCGGCAACCTTAAATACTCAAAAGAGCCACAAAAGTCCTAACTGGAAGCCACCCATTCAATTCTGGAGCTGACTGGAAGTCCAGTTCCCCCACCATAGAGTCTCCTCCTAGCGCGGCGTTCTTTTTCCTCTACCTGTCCTAACCGAAAGCCCTATCAATTGTGGAGCCGATCGGCGACAGGGAGCCGCAGCAGAGGGATGAAAGAGCCACATGCGGCTCCAGAGCTGCAGGTTGCTGACCGCTATACCAACCTCATGAACATGGAAGACTCCCCAGTTCCTCCCCCTATCCCTTTGGCTTCTTGGCTTAACAGAAATCCTTGCGACAGCAAAGCTTCTCCCATGGCCAGTTCCTTCTCTCTGGAACCGAGAAACAAATTCAGCTGCTGGGTTTAAAAGAGCTCATCGCTTGATCATGGGCCGATCTCCAGCCCGGTGAAATATCGTACGGGGACAATATCGTACAAGTGACATATTTCTGGTGCGTCTCCAACATGTGCCCCCTTCCTCTTGCTGCCAGGAGAAGCTGCAGATGGAGAAGCAGCCACGAGACAGCGAAGACAAAGTATCCCGACTCGAATTCATAACATTCGTGGGGGTCTAAATTGTCCGAGTGCCAAGCATTCTTCTTGAGCTTATGGATCTGAGCTTGCCCGTGGAAACCTGGCTCGCAACAGCCAGTAGAAGAGGAAGCCGTCGCAGAGTTCCCCGATTTGTGTGAGGGCCGCCATCTTTGAAAGGAGCAGAGCAGAAGAGTGGCGGAGCAACTGAAATTTGATCCTCTAGCATCTCTGAAGTAGGATATAAGCCTCGGTGAAACCCAGAGGGAAAAGCTGCAATAGGCAACTTTTAAGATCAGAGAGTATATAACAAATTTGGTCAGCAGGGCAGGGTCATTCTAACCGAAATGGCTTCCATGAGGCAAATTAGGTAACACCGTCATCATAGTGCTCTTTTTCGGGATCTGTGTAGAGCTGGAAGGGACCTTTGAGGTCTTCTAGTCCAACCCCCTGCCTAGGCAGGAAACCCTACACCACTTCAGACAAATGGTTATCCAACCTCTTCTTAAAAACTTCCAGTGTTGAAGCATTCACAACTTCTGGTGGCAAGTTGTTCCACTGATGAATTGTTCTAACTGTCAGGAAATTTCTCCTTAGTTCTAAGTTGCTTCTCTCCTTGATTAGTGTCCACCCATTGCTTCTTGTCCTGCTCTCGTGCTTTGGAGAATAGCTTGACTCCCTCTTCTTTGGGGCAGCCCCTGAGATATTGGAACACTGCTATCATGTCTCCCCTAGTCTTTCTTTTCATTAAACTAGACATACCCAATTCCTGCAACCGTTCTTCATATGTTTTAGCTTCCAGTCCCCTAATCATCTTAGTTGCTCTTCTCTGCACTTTTCTCAAAGTCTCAACACCTTTTTTGTAATGTGGTGACCAAAACTGGATGCATTATTGCAGGTGTGGCCTTACTAAGCCTTTACGAAGCTGTAGTCATTTTGATCATGTGATTTTGATCCTGTGCCTCGGTTTATACAACCAAGGATTGCATTCTTCATCGTCAAGAGCAAACACCATTCACAACAACTGGAGAATGGGAAGCTAATCATTGTTTACGAAGCAGACGGATTAAGTCTGCAGTTTTTGGCTCTTCGTCCGACTCGTCATTATTTCTTTTCATTTCATTATTGGTTCCAGTGGGTTCCCAGCGTGATCCACGATCCCTGGAAAATGCACTCGGCAGCTCATTTCACGGAACGCTAGCGAAACATTCAGAGCAGGAAATAAAACTCAAATGCAAACAATTAAAACATCAAATACAGGTAGTCCTCAACTTGTGACCACAACTGAGCAAAATTTCTGTTGCTAAGCAAAACTTTTAATTTAATTTAATTTCCAATTTACATTGGAAATACATTACAAACATTTCCTAAGTGAGTTTCGCCCCATTTTACAACCTTCCTTGTCGCAGTTGGTAAGTGAATCCGTGCAGTTGTTTAAGTTAGCAACACCGTTGTTAAGGGAATCTGCCTTCCCCTTTGACTTTACTCGTTGGAAGGCGATCACGTGACCCCACCCCCACCCTCCCACCCGGACACGTGCAACCGTCATAAATATGAATCAGTTGCCAAGCATCTGATATTTGATCACGTAACTCTGGGCATGCTGCAATAGTTGTTGTTATTGTGTGTGTGAAAAACATTCGTCAGTCACTTTTTTCAGGGCCGTCGTAACTTTGAACAATGACGTGTCGTAAGGCGAGGACTACCTCTACAAACCAGTATTGAATTGTGCCCCAACCCAAGACAAAAAATATATATATATTTTTTTCCTCACAGAAAATGTTTATGGGTTGATTTGCTGGCCTTATTTATAAAAGCTCCCCAGAGCTTTGAAAAACCTCTATTTATTTATTTATTTTGCTGAGCATCGGCATTTCGGAGGGAAATGCTGCAACTTTGAAAACTTCTTAGATTGTCTAAGGCCGAATGTACATTCCTGTGAGATATAAATATCAATTTGATTAGCTAGCAGGTCTTGTCAGATACAGTGTCTGATCTCCTCAGTCATTTGAGCGATGACGTGGTCTGAGGGCTTCTGTAAAAGGCTGCGGGGGTCTTAACTCAAGCCTATATAAGACGGAGGCTCAGCTCCAGCCAAGACTGCAAGGGAAGAAATCTCCTTAGATCATTGTCTTGCCTCTTCTCCCTGCTTTGGAAAGCAACCTCAAGGTGAGTTGAGCACAGCCAAGTACCAGTACTATGATGATGATGATGATGATTTTTGCTGTTGTTCTTCCAGTCCGGAGCGAGCCTTAGGATCTTAAGTAGCACAACTGCTTAGGAAGGAATTTGGCGTCTCAAAGACAGAAAGCCAACAGTTCTGTTTTGTTGTGGTTTTTTTCAGCCAGGCCAAAGATCCTGAAATTGCACGAATTGGGAATCTGACGTGGAAACTACCTTTGACTATCTCAGTGGGAGAGAGAGAGAGAGAGACAGACAGACAGAGACAGAGACAGAGAGACAGAGAGACAGAAAGGAATAGAGAAATAGAGAGAAATAGAGAGAGGGTAAGAGAAAGGGAGAAAGAAAACTAAAGAGAAAGAGAGAAAGAGAAATAAAGAGAGAAAGAGAAAGAGAGAAAGAGAAATAAAGAGAGAGCAAGAAAAAGAAAGAAATAGAGGTAAGTAAAGATAAATAGAAATGAAAAGGAAGAGAGAAAATGAGAGAGAAAGAGAAAGGAAAAGAGAGAAAGAGAAAGAAAGAGCAAAGAAAGCAAAAAAGAAAAAGATTGAGAAAGGGAAGGAAGGAAGGAAGGAAGGAAGATAAGAAAGCGAGTTAAAGTGAAATAGCGAGACAGAGAAATAGAATTAAAGAGAGAGAGAGAGATGATAAACAGAGAGAGAAAGAGAGAGAAAGGAATAGAGATGAAGAGATAGAGAGACAGAGATTTCACGAAAGATATTCTCGTTGCTAGTTTTTGGTTGTTTTTAATATCTTAATCTACCCTTTAACTCTGTTTTTCGAAATGCATTGGGAGGCTGCAAATTCTCTTTCGTGATTCTGCCAGTGTTCTTCCTTGCGAAGATTTCCACGTCTTGCGGGTCTCGTCTTGAAAATGTTACTAGTGTGCCATTTAATTTCTTTCTTTCTTTTTTTTAACCTCCTCCCAGCTCTGAGATGGCATTCGCTGGAATAATGACTGATGCTGAGATTGCAGCTGGTTTACAAAGCTGCCAAGGTAATTTCTATAGACCTATCCCTATAGACAGATTTTTTTTATATATAAAAAAAAAGCTTGTGTATCGAAAAAAGTCGTGGATTCAAATATGGAAGAGGAGAGGCCATCAACTTCCCAACTTTCATCCTGACCCCACCATCACTACTCCAACATTCCCAAATGTCTTGGGTGGTTTTAAAAAAACAGCCATCTAATATTTTTTTCTGGAGGTTGTGAATCAGTGGTGAAATTTATTTTTTTGTTACTACTGGTTCTGTGGGCGTGGCTTGGTGGGCATCGTAGGGGAAGGATACTGCAAAATCTCCATTTCCACTCCACTCCAGCGGAAGGATACTGCAAAATCCCCATTCCCTCCCCACTTCTGGGGGAAGGATACTGCAAAATCCCCATTCCCTCCCCACTTCTGGGGGAAGGATATTGCAAAATCTCCATTCCCACCCCACTCTGGGGCCAGCCAGAGGTGGTATTTGCCAATTCTCTGAACTACTCAAAATTTCCGCTACCGGTTCTCCAGAACATGTCAGAACCTACTGGATTTCATCCCTGTTCTCAATGTTTTATTAGTGTTAATGTTTTATAGGGAAAACAGTTGTTCCTAAATTTAACATATTAAAACCAGGCACACCTCTTTTTATAATGTTAACAAATTGCTAAAGAAAGTGCAGATTACGCCACTAAAAATCAGTCATTGTAAAACATTTTTGAGTTGTTTTCTGATCTTGGACAGAGATCCTGATTTTTCTGCCCTTAAATCTCTTAACCGTAATATTTAGGATGGTTACCTTTCAGCATTTCCCCATCGTCTGCTCTTTGCTGGATTACAGTGGCCATCATCCCCATCCAGCAAGGCTGATGGGGCAGGGAGAATTGCCAGCCAAAAACATCTGGAGCATTTCATCGATTTTGGAGTGCGATCAGCTGCAGCTGGACTGTTCAGATGAATTCCGTTGCATCAGCAAAATATAACCAAAATCCCCTTATAATGAAGTTGTGGGGGAAAAAAAAACAACCTTGTGACTTTTTTAGGTTGTCCAAATTACAAATTAGCACCCAAAGAATACAGAAACCATGGGGTTCAGCTCTCCGAGAAGTAGCTATCGCACAAAATTCCTTTAAAAATACGGATCAACCAAAAGCTTCCCAAAGTCCCTTTAAAAATCCCAGAACCTGGATGCCTAAAATGATGTTCGGATTTGGCACAGTGGAGGAAGGACTTTTCTAGGGGTTTAGACACCCACCCGCTCACTTACGAACTCTGCCTAGTCTTGAAATGTGACCCCTGGCATTCCTTCCCGTCTCTAAATATGGCCATGCAAATACCATACAATCCGGGCAAGAAGAGATACGATGTTTTTCCTGCATGAAAAAACGGAACCTCTGCAGAATCGGTTCGAACAGATTGTAGCAATGATGTTAGTCGATTGATGTAGCAATGATGCCACGTTGACTGCAAAAGTAAGACGCCTGATTGATGCTTTTAACTCAACAGCTTCTTAAGGAACTGTGTTCTTTACATGCCACCTAAAGCTGGAAAGCTCGAAGGCTCTTGTGTTTGACACGTTCTCTTCTCCCAAGTGAGGGATAGTACAAAGATGCCGTCCTGGGGATGGTAGGATTGTCCATCTTTCACTTCTGGAGAGGGTGGCTGCTCTAGGCTTTAAGCTTCCTGGAGTAGCTTTAGGAGATCAAAGCATCTGAAGGAAGCCCTCCAGCCAGGGATGAGTGATAGGTATCCCTGGGACGGAGACGGGTCTCTGAAGATTCACAGGTCCTCTCTAAGCATCTCCTAAGACCTAAGCTAATGCCTTTCAGATATAGTGGGTGTTAACTTCCATACTTCCCAGTCGAAGGAAGGAAGGAAGGAAGGAAGGAAGGAAGGAAGGAAGGAAGGAA